AATGTTCTGTGATTGTAGTGAGGACATTCTGAGGCCGGTGGGTAGCCTTCTTTGAAAACTATGGCTGCACTGCCATCTGGCTGATCCTTATAAGGTCCTTCTACTAGATTCTTGCTTGGCCACAGCTAACTAAAAGGCGAGGATACCAAATCTAAGTGGGACCAATTAGATTCTTTCTCTTGGGAATTAGAAATCAGACCTGGCTGCTGCTCTCTGGATACTTTAGCAAAAATGAAACAGTTATGTACCATTAAAATTCAGAGAAAGTTTGTACAGAGACAAATGGAGCAGAGGAGCAGAAATGAGCAGCACCAAAAGACCAGGAGTCCCAGAGAAACAGTGGGTATGCAATCAGTTCTTCATGCAAATTGAAATTCCTGATGTGAATCCTTCAGGAGTGCCAAGTGAACATCATTCATTTAGTCCTTTATTCATGCATGCATGCATGCGTGCATTCAACAACTACTGGCAGAGAGCCTCTTGTATTCCAAGTACTACTTTGAAGTACATTCATGAACAAAAGGCATAACATCCCTGACATCATACATTTTTCTACTGGAGAAGAGAAGACAATAAACAAATAAATGTACCATATAACATCAGAGCTTCAGAAGGGTTAAGAAGCATAAATCTGGGCAAGGGGATAGAAAGTGCTAGATGGTTAGGGAAGGCTTCTCTGAGCAGGCTACATTTGAGCAAATCCCTGAATGAGGTACTTTATGAGTACCTCATTTAGGTACTCATGAGCAAGGTAAAATGAGCAAGTCATTCGGACATATTGGGGAAGCACTGTCCAGGAAGAGGGAACCCCAACTGCAGACGTTCTTTGATGGGGTTGTGCTTGGCATAACAGGAGCAGCTAGTTCTTACCCCTCCTCACTCCAAGTCTTGACCTCCTGAGAGATTTCACTGTGTGGATGGTCTTTCCATCACACTGCAATCCCAATTCCCAGACCTCTGGTTGAATAAGATTTGCTTCAGCAACTCACTACCCTTGCTTGACCTTCTCTGAACTCCTAAACTCTAATACACTACTTTGACCTCAATACCAACTTGCTCTTGCTATACACATTTTTCTTCTTGAAGACTCCCAGTTACTTAAGTGCTCTCTTTCTTTCCAGTCTATCAGGCTGATCCTTTACTAATTTCCATCCTTCTCCAGCCTAGACTTTTGCAAACACAGGCACTGTGTGTAGTGGTGAGAGGGTGGTTTTGGAGCCAGACTGCCTGGGTTAAAATCCCAGCCCTACCTTTAACTACATGGGCCTCCTGTTTCTGGGGATGTAAGGATAGTAATCTTCTCCATTGTTATAGGACTAAGTGAGCTAATGACACATAGTACTTAGAAATGCCATAGAGTAAACTGTTAGTAAATATTATCAGGATCATTTTGATGCTATTACCATAATTATTCATCTGCTCTTCCTGCAACAGTTTGAACCTCTGTAACTTAAATTCTCCTGTTCAACTTTTCCTGGAAATCTCAATCTTTGTCTCAATCTAATCATCGATCATCTCTGCTCTTATTCCTCAGTAGCTGAGGTCTCCTGACAAAACAAACAAAACCCAACTTGACCATGCAGGATAGAGTTTCTGGACTCTGCCTGGCCTACCCTCCAGCTTGAAAATACCCTCCACACGAGTCTGGTTGCTTTTCTCCCTCATTTCCCCACTAGCTATGCTCAACCTTTGCCATTCTTTTCAACTTCCCAACATGCTGACCCTCTCACTCTTGCTTGATAGTTCTTATAGGGACTTCCTAATCGCAGCTACAAATATATCTATATTCTTGCATTTTTCTCTTCAAATTCATAGGAAGAGGTCTTCTACCTTTCTGTCTTCGACTAGTTATCTACCCATATTCTACATAACTTCCCCTCTCATCCCTTTGGGGACCCAATTTCACCAAATATCTTTTTTCCATTCATTTTAAGCCCAAACATGTTCAAATCTCTCTAAGCTTAACGAAGCAACAAAACAAATTAACAGTCCTCTGAACTCTGGATCCCCCTTCTATGTGTTGTCCCATTTTCTTTCATCTACAGCTAAATTTTTTGACTTTGCCAAATGTGCCATGTGACAAACCCGATTCTTGGTTGAGAACCACTGATAAAAAGACAAGGCAATATAAAATGGAGCATTGAGTATGTAACTGAATGCTGTAAAGCTCTAAAAAGAGGAGCCCACAGTGTCCTCCAGTCCCTTCTGTCTGCTCACTGCATTTTTCCTGCCAAACCCTCTTCTGAACACCAGTTCCTTGGCAGGCAGCATGCACAGCTTGTCTGTATTCCACCCTCCCCTCGCTCTTTCCTCAGCTCACTACAATCCGACTTCTATCCTCCAGTTCTCTGAAACTGCTCTGTAATGCCGGTCTTCCCAATTGCCAAACCCAGTAGACACTTCCTGCCTTATATTATTTGAATTCTTTATAGCACCTTTACACTATAGACCATGCCTTTGGCCTTGACACTCTTGTTTTGGCTTTCAAAATGCCACCTTTTTTTGGTTCTGCTTCCACTTTTTATATTAGGTCTTCGTTGTCTCCTTTGCCAGCATCCTTTCCCTTTAAATCTTAGTACTCCTTAGGCAGAATCCTTTCTGCCTGAGACTTTCCCTAGTGGTCTCCTTATTGCAATGACTTTAACAATCCCTGACTTGGTGGACCCTCCTTGGTCCTGCTCTTTAGCCCAGGCCTGATCCTGGTTCCAGGAGGTGCTACCTGCAGTCTCCTGGGCACTTCCTTTTGCTTTTCAGTGGTAACGCCCATTCAGTAAGTCTGTTCTTATCTTGCAGCAGTTCTTGCTCTTGTCAATTGACTATGGGGTCCTGGAAGATAATGATCCTTTTTATTTCCTCTTTCGATGATCCAAATATAGGACAGAGCCTAGCACTTAGTAACTTATGCTCAATAGTTGTCTTTTGAATTAAGGAATGAGTGTGCTTGTCCTTGTTTCCTAGCTTTGGTCGTGGACTTACTTGCTCATGTCTAAAATAGAATTTTTGCTATCTGCAAATTCCTACTCTTCAAGTCTTCCTCTCAGTTTGACATCAGTATTTACTCAGCTGCTGACACTTATGCCTCAGGAGTCCTCCGTAATCTTCCCTCCTCTCATCTCCTTTATCTAATTCACGAGCAGGTTCTGTTAGCCATGGTCTAATTTCCACTGTCTGTCACCATCTCTAGCACTAATTACCACCTTGTCCAGGCCACCATTATTCCTTACCTGTTCAACTGCCACCACTTCCTTACTTGGCTTTTCTACTTCTGCTACTCTCCCTTCTCATCTCAGAAGGCTATCTCTAAAACATGGATCAGGCTATCTCATTTCCCCTCCATAGAATGCTCCTTGACTTCATTGCACTTGGAATAGAATCTAAATTCTTTACCAAGGCCCTTCATTACTGAGACCCTTCCAACCTCTCCCACCCCACCTCTACATCCAAATCTGGTTCTCAGCCCCTACTCCCTTATATCCCCTAGCAAGAACTTTCTGCCATTTCTCAAACAAACCAAGCTCATTATTCTGGCTCACATCTTCTACTCTGGCTGTTCCCTCTACCTGGAATGCTCTCCTCCCAGGTTCTCACATGGATGGCAACTTCTCAAGCTTTAAATTTCTGCTCAAATGCCACTCCCTTAGAGAATCATCCTATGAAAATAGCTTCCACATAGTCATTCTCTAACCACCATTCTGCTTTACTTTCTATTATTGTCTTAATTTATATCTATTAATTTAAAAATTGACTTTCTGTACAGCTATAATATAATCTTCATTAAGACAGGGATTTTTTTTTCTCTACTGTCTACTGTTATACCTCCACTGAATGGAAAAGAAATTGGCCCACAGTAATTACTCAGCAAGTATTTGTAGGGAGAATGCACTCTCTGTGTCCAAAGGCATACCTGTACTGACTGGTAAAGGTTATTGGCTCTGTGAGGTACTGTTTCACTGTGTGAAGACAACTTTCTTAAATGGGAACTGGCACCAACCTTTAAAAGCCACACAAATGTTAGCCACCAATGAAGACTTCCATCATGACCAAATTCGGGCTCCTCTGGCCCTCTGCTTGACTAGGACTTGTCCCTGTCCGAGTCCGTAGCCTGCTGAGCCATTTTAGCAAGTCTTGCACTAACTCAATTTATCAAGAATACCTCTACCCACTAAAGTGTCCCAGGTTCGATTCCCAGCCAGGGTACATTCCTGGGTTGCAGGCCATAACCCCCAGTACCCGCACATTGATGTTTGTCTGTCTGTCTGTCTCTCCCTCCCTCCTTCCCTTCCCTCTCTAAAAATAAATAAATAAAATCTTTAAAAAAAAAAAAAGAATACCTCTACCCTTGAATTAAGTTCCTCATCCCTCCTCCGTTGTTATCGAGCTCCTTTTAGTAATTTCCATCCAATAGCTCCTTTGCCCTCACCTTGCCTTCTAGCTATAAATTCCTGGCTGTCTCTGCTGTTTTCAGAGTTAAATTCAATCTCTTTTTCCTATTGCAAGGCTTGATCTCTCTTGCAATAGTCTTGAATTAAGTCTTCCTTCCTTTTAACAAGTGTCCGGTATAATTTCTCTTTAGTACCAGAGACCAAATAGTTACCTACTGGGCTTGTATAAATCCATTTAATGAATTTTCATTGTTACCCTCCAAACCTTATGTTTCTTGCAGTGGGAAGGGTTAAAGAGAGACTTTTCTTATCTGTGTGACTGAAGAATATGGCTTCTCTAGCATATAGGAAAAAGTCAGGAAGAATAAAGGCTACATGATTTTTTATCAATTTATAGTGGCTATTATTTATTTTGTCACATTTATTTTTAACTGTTCTTGTGGTGACATTTTAATGAATAATACGACAACAATGCTCACTTCAAAATGACACCCCAAATGTCCTAAACAAAAGCATGTTAGTATATAAAGAATAGCTCCCTTTCTGCCACATAATCCATATAATTCACATGCAGTCCACTCCTGACTCTGCAGCTGCCTTGCAATTATATGATCATACCTGCAACATCAAACTCGATTTCCAGTGTGACCTTGCTCGTGATTGAAGAGTCTCGGAGGAGCTGATTGGCTTCCTCGAAGGTGCTGTCTTCAGTTGGAATTCCATTAATGGCCATCACTCTGTCTCCGATCTGTAGTACCCCACATCTGAATTTAGAACCACATGTTAGAGGCTATAGATAGGGCAAATAATTATCAGCTTGCCAAATCTGCTTTGTTTGATCCTTGCAAAATGCCATAACCATTGCGTCTTGTTTATTCAGTGATGTGGGAATCATGTTAGGTCAACTGCAATGCCTTACACTCTCGCATCTCATAGCTACGCATGTGAACAAGGGAATCTTGAACTATCACAGCAAAGTAATTAATAATTTATAGCATTGTTCTAATCTGATCTGAACCAATATACAGTAATGATGAATGTACATTCCCCCAAGGCAGAGAAATTATTAAAGTTTGAATGGAGAGATTTTTTAATAGATTTTTTCCTTTTAATTAATATGGCTTGTAATCCCCAATGGAAAAAAGTCTGCTAGATAAAGGCATCCATGCTCATTATTCTTCTCAAAACTGATCAAGAACATAAAATTTTATTGTCAGAACATAGAGTTCATTACATCTTACGTTTCCTGCATTGAGCACTGTCCCAAAATTCATTAGCTGTCCAAAGGCAGCCAGCTCAGAAATGCGGAGCAGGAAAAGGTGCTGCGGAAGGTGTCTCACCTCTCTGCTGGGCTGTCGGCTTCAATATAGGATATCAGAGGTGGAGAGGAGAGAGTCTCAGTGGCAAACACGCTGCCCTGCAGCTGGATCCCAAACCCTGTGACAGGGTCTGCTGTCAGCACCACCTCTGTGGTTTCTGTGTGAACCACCTGCCCAGCCAGGCCCACGGTGCTGGAGGCTAAAGACACTAGGGGAACAAACACAGAAAAGAATGACTTCAGGCTGGCGCAAGCACCAGGAACACCAGCATTTCTGAAACAGATCATGTCTCTGAAAAATGGTTCACTGGCAGGTTATATTTTGACCTTTGAGCATTGTAGCCAGAGCTGAACAAGATGCACGAATCTCCCAGTACTGGTTGCATTTCAGTCACAATACCAGTGTAGCCTCCTCCCCTTATAGACCTGTGTGTCAGGGACAGTTGTGGGAACTGTAGGAAGAGGACAGCCCCAGGGTCAGGGCCAGGGTACCTGGGTTTTGGTCCTGGCTCTGCCACTGAGCAACCAGTGGTAGATGAGTCATTTCTTTCTTATCTAGAAAAAGGGAGGTTAGGCTTACTGGTCTAATGCTTTTTTCCACTTTAGCCATCTGTGTCTAAAGCTTTAAGCTTTTTACAAACCATCTATCCTCCAGCTTTGAACACATGATCTAAGTCTGACTCCCAGAGTGGCGGGGAAGTGCTGGTCATCGACCTTAATCTAGCACTGGGCTGGCATGATGGAGTGGTTTAAATGTGACATTCCTCTTACTCTCAAATTTGGTCTCTTCAGTCCTTGTTTCTTCCCACTGGATCTCCAACCTACTTTGTAATCTCTTATTTCATTTGTCCCTCTGACACACTTCTAAGCCCCCAGGCACACGTCTCTGCCTTGTTCCCATCCCCAGCCCCTGTCATGAGCGGCAGCTCTGCTCCTGGACGCCTTCCTCTCAGTGCTGCCCACTGGGACCTCTGCCTCCTCTGTTCTCTGTGGGCAAGAGCTCTGTCTGCAGGGCTCTCTGCTGGACTGTCACTTCCTCCAGAAAGGGACTTCAGGCCCTTTAATTGAAACCTGGTGACACCATGTACCTCAAAACACTCTCCACCCACAAGTTGTTTTCCTTCACAATCCTTGCATGGTGCAGAGAGAGAGAAGGGTTTCCAATACTCCTTGCTTCCCACAGGCAGTGCTTTTTTAAAAACCTCGAACTACTCCTATTTAGCTCCATTTTCTGTACTCGTTTCTGCTTTGTCTCATCTTCAAACCTGTAGTTTTCTACATTAACAGAGTCACCCCTCCCCCATTACCTCACTGACTTCAGGACTTGGCTCTTCATCTCTCTTCTCTGATCTATAGCTTTTCCTTGTCCTGAGCATCTTTGACACCATGGTCATAATCTTCTAATGGGCTGTATTTATGGTTCTCCAGCTCTCCCAGTGCTGGCAGGTGCACCCTGCGCCAGCTCTCTGCCAGCAGAGCCTTGTGCTGTACCCCATCTCCCTTCAAAACGGGTAGAGCTCCAAGATCTCAATATCTGAATCTTTCTTGTTGATCACGTAACCTTATTAGCCATCTCTTCCAGTCCCTGTGATCTAATTTTCTGCTCTTTATTACTTCCAGTCCCATTTCCTCTCAACTGTCTCCAAGCAGTGGTTTTCAAACAGTATTTTTAGCAAGTTTCCCCCCCTTCAAATGAAAGCATATAAGGGATGCCTTTATAGTCCAGATACAAAACAGAGCTAGTGCGGTTGTAGGAATGAGGACCCCCAGGCTTCCTCCTCCCTCATGAGGGAATCTGGAGAATGCAGTTGAAGGCCGTTGTCTTTCACCATTGCCTTTTACCAGCATCATTTCCCTCCACACTCCGGCTGGACCCCTAGTGGCCACTTCAGTGATGCATCTGCTAGTATCAGAGATTCTGAAACCTCACGTGATTTTCTGTTCTCTGTCCCATTTGGTAATTAATGCCCAGGCAACTCCACTGCTGTTACCAAGTTGATTAAGGGTATTAGAGAAAGTCACGACAGTCTCATCACCATAGGAGGCCCAGGAACCTTTCACTTTGTGATGTTTTGGCACCTTATTAGGTTCCTTACAGGATGTCTCAAACATTTCTACCCTTCCCAGGATCAAACTTGACTCTACTTCATTTCCTACAAGACTAAAAAGATACAACCATTTGACAAGAGTTCCATAAACAACACTGTTTCCACTTTGATTTCTCTGTATCAGTGATTTTTACCCTTTTTCATTTCATGGCACACATAAAATCGTTACTAAAATTCTGTGGCACACCAAAAAGTATATTATGATGATTATTTTTTGCTAATCTGACAAAAAAATAGGTAATTTTGATTCATTCACACCAGGTGGCTATGGTTGTGTTGGCTGTTGTTATTTTTTATTTGACAATCTAAGGGAAAACAGGTCAGTGTCCCTGACTCTAGTCAGGTACTGCATATTTTAAAAGTCTTTGTGGGACACCAGTGTGCCACCACATGCCACTGGAGAAATGCTGCTCTGTATCATCAATTGTTCTTTTCCCTTCATTTCCCTGCTTCAGGAGGACGTATCATTCTCTCCATCTCCAGGCTCTTAAGTATTTTTGACACTATGCCTTTCCACTCCTGTGATTTTGTGCCATAAAATCTTTCTTGCCACTTTTTTCAACTTTCCTATTCACTACCCTCACTTTCTGACTTCTCCTTAGGATTTGTGCTGATGCTAAACGGCTTCAAGTTTGGCTTCTGCTTTCACCCTTTCCTGAAACTGCTCTCACGGATGGCTTCCTAATTGCTGAAATCAATGGCCTCATCTGCTCTAACCACTCTGCAGCAACTGGCTTTGGGAACTGTCATTTTCTTTCCAAAATTGCCCTCTTGGTTTTGATGAAGATTGGTTCTTTGTTTCTTTTTAGAATTTTTTGAATTTTATACATTTGTTTTTTATTTTTATTAAATCATTTTTATTGTTATTCTATGACAGTTGTCCCAATTTTCCCCCTTTGCCCTCCCCTGCCATTCACACCCCCACCAGTTCTTTCCTTTTCTCTTTTTTTATTGTTCAGGTATAGTGAAACAGCGTGGGTGGAACTGGAAAGCATTAACCTAAGGGAGATACGCCAGGCGGTGAGGGACAAATACCATAGGATCTCACCTATAAGTGGAACCCACCCCTTCTTTTTGCTTTCTCTGCACTCCCAACATAGCGTTGTCTGTGGTTCTGTCCTAAGCCTTTTGAACTCTCATTCTTTCCCTCATTCACTTGCAATAAAACATGACCTCTGCCTGTATCTTCTCAAACTTACCTCTCTAGTGATGAACTTCCTGACTTGATGGATGTCAACCACAATGAGGTCACGAGGGTTCCTCAAACTCAACATTTTTAGAATGAAGTTAATCACCTTCTCTTTTTCATTGCCACTGATATGTTTATAGTCCTTCAGGCTTGGAATCTGAGTAGTTTTTGACCCACAATTCCCCATTGTTTTCAAACTGAATCAATTTTGTTTACATCTCCTTTTTCCTTCTTACCGTCAATGCCTTAATCCAGGCTTCCATTACTTTTTACTTCAATTACCCTAATATACATGTTTCTGGGTTCTCTCATGCCCGATGCTGTCTGCATGTTACTGCCAGATTAACTTTCTCTTCATAACAAGGCCCCAGTTCACCCACTTCTCTGCAGGAGAGCCTCGTCAGTGCTCGTGTAGATGACTAGGCTTTCAACAAGTGCCCTTGCCCCTTGCTTTACACCAACAGCCAACAAATTGCTGCCAAAGTGGCTTTTCTATAAAGGCCATCCCCCAGTTTAGAATCTTTCAGCGTTTCCCTTTTTCTATAGAAAAGCATATTCAAATTATAGTAGAGCACACAGAATGCTTCTTGAGTTCATTTTTTTCTGCCCATCTTGCCTCATATTCTTCTAATCTCTTTCATGTGCCATTTGTCTTCAGCCCTGTTTTCATCCCTCTGCGTCATAATATATATACTGTGCCTTCTGCCCCCGGAGCCCTTACCCTGTGTTTTCAATGTCCCTTTCCCTGCCTTATCCAGGCAGAATTACGTATTTACTTTTCTACATTTCCAGATTCTAATACAGGGTCCTGTCTTAGCATTTATCAGGTTTATACTTCCCTGCCTATTTCTCAACTTGACCTTCAGTTCTTTAAAGATTGGGACCAGACCTTTTCATCTCTAAAGCCCAGTGTCTCTAACATTCAGTGAATGCTAAATAAATACATAAACAAACAAATAAGGATCACATTTTGTGATATCTGCATTTTCCATTTTGGAACCAACATTTCATGTAGATTCTGATGAGAAACTGTAAGTCATTCTTGGGGGCCCAAACTTTCCTATGATGTAGATCATTCCAGCACTGCAGCGGATGTGGCAGAGGATGGTGAGGTGGATCATTTGTCTACAGGGAGTAAGGAAAACTACTTCTAAAGAAGCACCATCGTTGTTCTGTCTCAGCAGGATGAACATCAATGAGATTTATGCAGCCTGCAGTGGGGAGTGAAGGTAGCCTCCAACCCTAAGCTTTTTCCAGGTGGTAGCCTACAATTTCCAATGCTAAATAAAGAAACAAGGAATGAATCACATTTTGTGATATCTGCATTTTCCATTGGACTATCATATATTTTAATTGAGTTTATTGGGGTGACATTGGCTAATAAAAGTATGTAGGGTTCAGGGGTACAATTCTATACTACATTGTGTGTACAGTGCACTGTGTGTTCACCACCCCACACCAAGTCTCCTTCCTGTCATCATTTATCCTCCCTTTACCCTCTTCTAGCTCCTCCCACCCCTTTCTCCCTGGTAATCACCACACTGCTGTGTGTCTCCATGAGTTTTGTGGATTTTTTTGCTCAAGCCCTTCACCTTTTTCACTAAGCCCCCCAGCCTCCCTCCCCTCTAACAGCTGTCAGTCTCTCCTCTGTATCTGTGAGACTGTTTCTGTTTGGTTTGTCAGTGTATTTTATTCATTAGACTATCTCATTTTCTAGGGTGCCTTTGTTGATGTCAACTGTACTTTGATTTCCCTCCAGATCACTCGTTGTTGTTTTTTTTTCTTTAATGGTGGCACAAAATCAATAGAGGATACCATTTCCTGTCAGTAAACATTGGAAAGTTGCATTTTTTCCAGTCAGTACTCATAGGAAGCAGGAATGTAATATCAGAACATCATCTAATTGGCAGATTACTTCCACTTCTAGGTGAAGCTTTTTTTTTTAGACTTCATCAAAAATACTTTCTGTGAATCTTTCTGTAGGTTCACATTAATATTTTTTCCATTTATGATCCCAATTTGGTGTAGATTTTTAGACTACTTAATTGAAGTTAAAAACTGTTTTTGAACTTTTAAGTCAGCTGATTATCACCTCCACTAAGAAAGAATAAAAAAGAAATGGTCAACTTAATAATAATGAAGGACATTAGGTTAGATGTAATGAGTACCTTTTCAAAGGAGAGACTTGCTATATTTTTTTGAATAGTTAGAGGAGATAAAAAATTTCGTTCTGTAGAAGGTTTGAATACAGAAATAAGTACTAATTCACTGTGGGTATCATTACATTAATAAGTACTATCTAGAGGCAAGTTGAGGTGATAGAAATCATTAGGAACTTTAATTTAGAATTAAAAATGTATTAAACATTGGTTTTATAATCATATGAGGTTATAATTTATTTAATAAATATAGGATTATATTAAATCTAGGAATTTACAATTAACTCTGAAAGCCCTCTGATGCATTGGAATCCATTCTTTGAAACAGTAAAGTTTCATTTGAAATTGTGTGTATTGATTATTCACAGGCATTAAAGTCTTAAAAATTATTACCAGATATGAAAAAGATAAATTGTAGATTTAAAGATGATGAGCCAGAGGGAAAAACAACCAATATTACTTGGAAGAGAAAAAGATGAGTTTGATTATGCTGCTTCATTTATGTGGTCAACCAGCAGAAGAAAATAAAAGCAACCTATGAATTATTATGCTATAATTTAAAAGTTTGTATAATGAATTCTCTCCCCATAGCAGATGCTCTTACACGGCACTGGCTTTGGCCTGAGATGTGCCCATTTCTGCTTGCAGGTGAAGATGGAAATAACTGCACTGCTGACACACCGGGTCTCAGTACCACCCACTGGGATGCCCAGAGTTCACATCTGCCCTGTCCCGCCCTGTCCTGCCTGGTTCACATTTGGAGGGTTCTGTTCATAACCTTTCAGGTTTGTGGCAAATGACTCGGTGTTTTGGTCAATTCTTGTCTTTCCTAGTGTAAGGAAGGGAGAAAAACCAAAGACAGCTTTTTAACTCCTAAAGTTTAAAAATCAGCCAACTGTCTTTTCAATTTAGAAACCTGTGTGGTTTACTGTCAGATATAAAAAGCATTTTAAAAGTACAGAGAGCAAAGGACCTCAAAGATTGATTAATAACACAGTGTTTGCCATTATCTGACCCTGTTATTTAAGATAGCTCACCTAGGTGTTCCACATTTAGGATGGTCTGTGTGGACACAACACGTTGCGTATCCCATGATCCAGTTTAGGAGCGTGGGGGTGGCCAGCAGCTCTCCCACTGTGTGGGGGCTGCTATCGGGGGCGGGTCTCAGGCTATCAACTGCCAGTCTGTGTACATGGTCACTTATAAAAGCTTACCGTTAGCTGCCTTTGTCTTCCATTTTTTTTTCAAGGGTCGGTGGAAGGGATAAAAGTGGTTAGGTTTTTTCATTCTCTTCCTTTCAGCTCTTTGCAATGCTGCCCTCCCTAGTAGTAAGCGACAGTGACAAAAGAGGCAAAGACCATTCTGGTCTTGTGTTCTAACTGTACTCTTCGCTGCAACCCAGGCTGACTAGGAACAGGCAGAGTCTCTGCATGGGTGGGAGGCAGAAAGCCAGGGAACTAGTCAGGGCCACCTCTCCGTCATGCCACCATCACAGAGGGGTGGTGGGGCTTCTGGAAGACCCTTGGCCTCCACAGTAGAGAAAGGGGCAGCCCAGGTTGCAGGGGAAAGGTCAGCACCATTCCAGCAGAGGTGACGAGAGGGTACCCTCTGTGACACGGCTCTGCAACCCTCCCAGGCTTTGTGACACTCCTCAAAGCCTAGTGCTGGGCTGACTCATCACTGCCCCTGTGAGGCGGACACAGAACTTTCCTGTTTTAATCCTTGGAACATGTTGTCACAAATTCCCTGTACTTCCTCCTCTGGTCAATGGTACAGAAGGTTTAATATTTATGTTAGAGATTTTACAATAGTCTGGCCATGTCCTTCCTTTGTCCAAGAGACATATGTGACAATTCTTTTTGTTTTCTAGGTTCTGGCCCCAACTCATCACCGATAGAGCAAAGGGACTTTTTATCCTTTTTGTGACTTTGCTATCGTTCACCATCTGTACAAATAGCATGGTTGCTATAGAAAGAAACGTAAGAATGAGAAAGGGGGTGGTAAAGGGTGGCACAGAATAAAGGATTAAATAAAGCAGTGGAAAAAACAATGGTACAGTGACAGTGGAAATAATACTTTTATTATCAGTTATTTGAAAAACCCTTACATCTGATGTGGTGATCATTCCAAGCTTAAGGGGGAAAAAAAGAATAGAACTTAATCCTCATTTTTGTGTGTGTGATTTTAGAATACTATCTTCTTTCTTTTTTTTAGGTGTTTTTAAAGTTGGAATAAAAATTCACAGCTTTTGCACCTTATTATTTGATTAGAATATAAAACATATGCTCACCTGAGCCATGTTTATAAACATTCTGGTAGGTATAATATGTGCTGTTGTAGTGGCTAATGTCTACAGCAAACACAAATAGCTAGAAATTTCTTCAACCAGCTTTGTGTTTATATATTGACATTGTTGGAGAATAATGTGTTGAATCAAGAGAGAATTTATGAGTGGGCTATGGACACCAGAGACAGTGTGGCCTCAGCTTTGTTTTCTACTACAGAATTCAAGATGTGTAAATACCAGCCTGAGAGAGCCAAACATATCACTCATTTGTAGTCTCTCACGTCCTTAGTCAACACAGTAAGTCTTAACTAACACAAATGTTTAGCCATTGAAGCAGAAGTGCAAACATTAATGAATTTGTTTTAGTTGCTCTTCCCTGCTGAGGGCTGTTAGCCTGTTTCTATCAGTGAGGAGCGCTGTATGTAAAGCTATTATATAGAAAAATATTCATATACAAATATTCACCACAAACCCTAAGGCACTGTATGGGAGATTCAAGACCTATGTATTTTGCTGTGTAACCATTCTGAAAAATGGTTATACAGCATCCATTTGAGAGGAATGTCAATAGAGTTTCACACATGGCAGCTCAGATTCAGGCAGAATAATGGCTAACATTTAAACTATTCAAAAATAGCTAACAATTAAGTAGTGCTTACCATTTACCAGGTGTTGTTCTAGCATATACATAATTATAGTACTAATTTCATAATCTCGACTGTAGAGTATATTTCTTGCCTTTCTGGTGGTGAGGATATATATACTCACATAATCTTCACAATTACCCAATGAAATAACTCCTATAATTATCCCCACTTGGTGGCTAAGAAAAATAAGTCTTGGAAAGCTTAAGCAACTTGCGCAGGACCCTAAGGCTAGAGACTAGGGAACACAGGCAGCCTGGTTCCCGGGCCCACGCTTGTGTCCACTTCCCCATACTGCTTTCAACTACGTAGTTTCTTCTGAGAGTAGATATTTTACTCAAGTGTCAAGTATGAAACATGAGATTCTATAAGCTCTTTCTTCTCATTTTGACTAAACTCAGTCTCCCTTCTGTTTTTCCTGATTTCAGATTTACTGTCATGGACATGTACTAGAGGTGACAAATCTCATGTATGAAAGGACATGCATGTCAAATCACGAGTCACCACAGTGGCCACCCTATCTTTTGCAATGGTTTTCTTTGCACTTCTGTAACATGAAGAGACCATTGCCCAGGTGGTTGGTGGTTAGTCCCCTACACTGATGGTGGCTCTGGTGGCACTGGCAGAAGACCCGCCTGCCCAGATCAATCAATCCCTGGCAGATAAGCTGAGGGGCCAAAGGTTCAAGCACCCTTCTTACAAAAACATTCTCTCCGCACTACCAGCTTTGAAGTATCTGGGTTTGGCTTTATTTTGGTAGCTTAAAGATGTTCCTCATTTTATCCTCAAGGTAAGCACAGTAAGAGAGCCCACCTTCTTTGAGCTCCTTTACAGGACCACAATCATGGCCACAAGAAGGCACATAAAAGGACAAAAAACACACTCTAGACTATGATTAGAACTTGTTGGAAAGATAGGTGTTTTCCTCTAAAACTTAATGTGATGATGAAGGGATTATGATCTTCCTTCACAACAACAAAAAAAATCAGGACTGACTTGTATTTCTTCCCTGTTCAATGCATTCATGTACCCTTTTTCTCTTTGTGTGTACAACCAGCTACCCCGAAACAAGTAGCCAACCACATCTTCCTAGTCTTGCTAGTCTATACGGTGCTTGCCTGTCCCAGAGGATTATATTTCCAAGGATTATATGTGAAATTCCTAGACTTTAAGTTACTCATTGTAAAGATAAGCATCCTTCTAATCTTCCTAAGGCTGTAGTGGACAACAGAAATGCATGTATATGTTAGAGAAGTTATTCTCAATGGGGTAGTTTGAAAAGGCAACTTATTACATGTTGGAGGGAGAAGGGTCATGAAATATAATTTAATATGAAACTTATAATAACATTAAAAATGCATGAGATTATTATATTTACCAAAAAGGGGACATAGCTTTAAAAAATTACTTTAGAGTGATAAGAACTAAGAACAAAGGTCATCTCCAAAGCTACCCAGAACATAAGGAAGGAGTTTTAAAGGAAAAATCACACCTTTGGTTATTGTATTAAATCAAAGGAACAAGAAAAAGTTTCAAATACAAAGTCAAAGGCAAAGGTAGCACAAACTAACTAATTCGGTCTGAAATTATATTCCCTATAGTCATTATCCTGGAGGTAATGCATATCATTTTACTGGTCTTTGGCACAGAACCGGGGCTCCTTGGCATCTATCTGCCTGACGGTGTAAGCTCTGTACACTCTTCCCATAGACTTCTGTGTATCAAAGCCTCAAACCTGCCCACATGTTTCCTACAGGCCAGATGACGCCGGCTGCCATTCCACTTACGTGAGCTTTTGAAGTCTTTCTTTTTCAGTCTCCTCCGCATCATGGTTCCACGTGGACTAGTGGAGTAGAGGCTGCGAGGTAAAGTCCCCATGTTCAGGGAGCTCAGGCTGTATGCACTCATGGAGGTAGGAGAGAAGGATGAAGACACCAAAGCTGCTGTAAGAGAGCGAAGACTTGGCACACGGCATTCTTGGGTGAGGGGAGGGTGAGCCTACCACACTTGCCAACCAGTAAGTAACAATCCAGAAAGACACAAATGATGCACAGCCATGGCATGCCAGTACCCCAACCAGACCGAGACCAGGTCTCAGGAGCCACAGAGGAAGTGCTTTAGAAGCTGAGTTACAAGAGCCCACAGATACCTGAGGAGCAGCGTGACCCTTGTAAACACAGTGGGACACAGAGCTCTGTGAGTGTTGCTTTAGACACATCCCCCCCCACCCAAACATTAAGACACACACACACCAACATTAAGACACACACACACAACCCCAAACATTAAAACAAGTTTCTCCACAAACAACACAATGCATCAGATACATAATCTCAGTTTCGTAGCTGCTTTCTGACATTAATTTCCAAGTAATTCCACATATACAAAGGAGACCTGCAGACATCGTACGCTATATCATATTCTGAGTTGTCTCCTGACCACATATAAAGCATTCTGAACATTTTTATTCTTTCCTAATGACAGATGCTTTCTGACAGAAAAGAAGAAGACTCAGGAGATGTCAGAAATGATTAAATTGCTATTAGGATAAAAAAAAAGGAAAGCATACAACACACATGAAGCCAAATACAATATGAATCAGATGAGCAAGGAGGGAGAAGAATACTCGTATAATTTAAATGCAAGACCAGGAGGAGAAAGCCTGGAACATTACGAGGGCTGTTTGGAGGAGGCGCTTTCGGGAGTGTCAGGGCAGGCACTCGGCAATGGTCGGGGTGGTGCGTGTTATGGTGATGGTAGGTGTGAAGGCTGCAGTGGTTGCTGGCCCAGGAATCCCAGGTGAGTTGCCTGTCGCTCCTCTGAATTTTCACTGCCCACATGAAGTGATGATGAGAAATAAGAAAAACAAACAAAGAACCAAAAAAGAGGAAAAGTAACTGAATTGCACAAATAAAAAGTGTAACAAAAATGAAAGCCTCTTGCTAAAGAAAAAAAATGAAACAAAATGGGTATCTACTGTCTACTGGCTTAGCCCTTTTCTTCGTGGTCAGCAAAACAGATGATTAACATCAGGATGGAAACTTTCATCTTCCCAAGAATAATGCATGTCTTTCCCAGCCCACTTTTTCCTCTTTTAAAGATGTCTCTTGAATCAATTTCTAATATCCCCCAGTGCTTCACAGCAGAGATTAAAAACATTTTTTAAACTTAAAAGTCAAGCCCATAATGATTTATGGCATATGATTAGTAGTTGAAGATTTGCAAATCTTGGCTAGTTAGCAGCACTTGTTTTGAGAGAGAAAAAAGAAGAAACAATAAATCAAATGGACTCATGATTCAAGTGGTTTACTGGTCACATCACAATCTATTGCTCTGACATTTTAATTTTACTATGATCCATCACTTGGACTTAATTTTTCTAGACAACAAACCATTCTAATCATCTTTCAATATCAGAATCACATCTATATCCTAATAAGAAGATAAAAGTCTCAACCTATTTAGTCTTTTTTAATTTTTGAAAGATGACTACATCTGAAAGCAATAATTAATTCTTAAAATAGTTTACATGTTCTTACATTTCCTGAAGATGCTATAAAATTTTAATAAAGTTTATTTTAAAATTGTGGCATCCTCTTTATTTTAAAAAATGTATATTGTATTTCCATTCTAATTTCAATATTGCTTAAATTTGATTTTCTATCCATTGTTCTAAAGTATGACCAACATTATGTTTGTTACTATATCTCATATGAATTTTTTCATTTAACAATCTTAAAGAATTAAAAATAACATATGAACCTGTATCTCCTTCTACTGTCATGATTCTAATGCTAGATGCCTTATGTGTGAATAATTTAACAGTAGTTAATCATGCAGAAAGGTCAAATACTCTGCAAGTATTTAAATGAGGGTCATTTAGATAAAAGCTTGTTTTACCATCTGAGATACCAGCCTCCCCCACCACTGGGAAGGCCTTGTAGAGTGACAGCCTATGGAACGAAAGCACTGCAGCCTGGACCGGTCACTGAGGGCTGAGACCGCCTGGGTCTCCACTCTGGGTCCAGCCCTTCCTCTTTTGTAACCTTGGCCAGTGACTCAGCCTCTCTCAGCCTCAGTTTCCTCATATGTCAAACAGGATCCTGAAGACATCTACCTCACAGAACAACTGTGAAAAATTATGTATATGGGTACTTAGCATGGTGCTGGTATACACAAAAACAATTGAGCTGTTAATAATATTGATTCTGCCTACTTTCTATTGACTTCCCCAAAAATGAAGTATCATTTAAAGGAAACAGATGTGTCTCTCACTCAACAAATTTCACACACTGAACACTTACGTTTAGAGAATACCCCAGAAATGTGCAGCAAGCATAATTTTGCAGCTCCAAACCTTCTGGCCCTCACCTTCTACCCCAATGTTCTTTCCAGTTCAGGGTCCATGTCCTTCACCACTATCCTCATTCCAAGCCAACATCTGCTTCACCTAGACCACTGCCCCACTTTCACACTTGACCCCGAGATTCATCTCCTACATACCTATCTTTGGGTAACTGCCACACAGCGTGATTTTCAACATTCACCGGTTAGATTATGTCACTCCCATTTAATCCACTTCGCTGGGTTACAATCACCACGAGATTCAAATGTGACCCCTACTTATCTCTCCAGCTTCATGCCCTATTACTCCCCCATCATTGACTATTTCAGCCACATAGGTCTTACGCTTGTTTCTAACACAAGCCAGCCTCCTTGCTGCCTCAGGGCATTTGCTGTCCTTTCTGTCTCTAATATTCTTGTCCCAGTGGTTTGCATGGCTGACTCCTTCTCATCATTGAGGTCTCAGCTCAGGTGCCAACCCTCAGAGAAGCTGTGGCTGACCTCTGCAGCCAAAGCAGCTGCCCTCTCCCACACTGTTCCATTACAGTTTTATAGTCTTCACAGCACTTACTACTGTCTGCAAAAGCTTCATTGATTTAATATATTTTCAGTGTTTGAAACTATAGGTCCACGGGAATAACAATCTACTTTGCTGTCTTGCTCACTAGATGTATCACAGCAACTTTAACGGTGCCTAGTACACAATGACTGACGAATGAATGGAGTAACTGAATGCATGATGAATAGGAATATCAGCAAGAGCGTCCACGTCTACACTGCAGCAATATCTTCCTTGTGATAAAAAGTGTTGCAAGGGAAGGCTCTAAGGGACTCTTTCCCCTTTCCTGCTCTACTCTGTGGTGTACACCAAGAGTTTGCATAGCAACGTACAGTCACTGTTGGGTGGGGCTGATCGACACCCACAGCCACTCTGTTTTCTCTTTACGGAGTACTGTCTGCATTTCAAGTGAAGCACAGTGAGTGGACTTCAGAATTCTAAACTTAATTTTTGATCCAGTCCTTCATGGAGTGCTTTGAAAATAACTGGGCATTTTTGGGTGTGGTCAGGCCCCATCATATTGACCACCTAAGGTGTGCCAAGCTCTGTGCTAGTTACTGCAGGCAGGTTAAATGCAGGCCATGCTCTTTACCTTCACTTTGAAATATCACTGGGGACTAATGCTTCATGCATATGAAATAACTGAGGCAGAAATGATATAAAATAATGTACAAAATTGCATGCCACATATAATGAATACAAAAAGTACTCAACCAATAATGCAGGCCGAAGAAGACAGCTACTGCCTATTTTGAATGTTCACAGAAAATTTATTTTGTTTTATGGTGTGTACTTGATAGTCATATATTAGGCAAGTATTTCAGGAGTTTAAAAATAAAATGTTATATTTTTGGCGCACTATTTCATTTTGCAAACAAGCATTCTTTCATTTAATGATCCTAATAATAACAGAAAACTTTACTGAGTACTTGCTATCCAAGGAGGGACCCCCCAAACTCCCAGAATTATCTTCTGGAGGGTGGGCCCCTTGTAGTACATGCTTCCCCCACTAGGTGAGTATTCTAGGAACTCGGCTGTGTCAGTGTACCAGTTGGTGCTGTGAGACGCTGCTTTTGGCTTCAGCAAGTGTTTTTGAAGACTCAAGACGTTTGCCCATTTCGTGGTGGGTCATTTACAAGAACACCTGCCCACAATGCACTGAGTGTTCGGCAGTTTTTGACCAAAAATGGCATAACCCACCTCCCCCTACCCCATACCCCACCCTCCTCCATATTCACCAGATTTTACCCGGAGTGAGTTTTTTTGTTTGTTTGTTTCTCCTGATGTAAAAAGTCCTCAAAGGGAAATAGTTTGGCAAAAAACAGCAGCAGCACTAAAAGGCACCAAAATCCACAAGTTCAAAAACTGTTTTGAGTAGTAGAAAAAAAGTCTTGATAAATATATTGCATCAAATGGCAAGTACTTTGAAGGTGCCTGAAGTTTAAACACGCAAGAATAAACTCAGGGTGTTTTGGGCCCCTCCTCGTATACCAGATACTGGGCTAAGTGCTTTCTCACAGATTATCTCATACTGTTCTCAATGTAACTACGAGGTAGGCATTATTATAACACCCATTTCACAAAGAGGAAACTGAGGCATAGAAAGGTTGGAAAACTAGCTTTAGGTCCCAAATGGTGGGGCCATAATTAAACCTTTGGAAGTCTGACTGCACAGTCCCTTCCCCCAGGCACCACATTGCACTTCTTCTTCCTATGGGTGTTCCTTAGTCCTTTGTTGCTGATTCATAAATAGTTAAAATACGATGCTCTTCCCATCATTCTATGTTGACATCATTACTGAAGTCTTAAGAGGTATCTGGCATGAAGTTATTTATTTGCTCCTCTAATGGTGCTGTCTTGCCCCGCTGGGACGTCTGAGGGTGCAGGCGCAGCCCCTGCAGCTCCCCAACGGACATTCCCTTGGTACGGAATGTGTTGAAGGTTGTGACTCTCTCTGCTCACGGTTTTCCCCCCGAAGTCTCACTTCCTTCAATTATGATTATGTCTCCCAAAAACCAGCACTGGGAACAATTTCTAACCTCACTGCCAGCAAAAGGCACAGTTAATCTCTGATTCTTAGTTGATGTGCCCCGTTTCTAAACTTCATTAGAGCACTGTGGGGAACGCTTTGTTGCCAAGCAAAATCTGGAACATGTGGTGTCCCTATCCATCTATGGAATGAGAGACCTGCGGCCCAGGCATCAGAGGTCTTGAAAAAGTAACTAGAGATTTCTTGGGGAAAAAGTCCACTACATATGAAAACAGAAGTTTGAAAATTATAAATGCCGTATTTTTTTTTGTATTTTTTTCTCTTCACAACTGTGATTTAATTATGTTTAAGAGACAATATTTATTTCCTTTAGGAAGTGCAAGTTTGATTTTAATGTAAAATGCAGGGAGCTGCTTATATGCTAGATAAGGAAGATGGTGAACAATTTTCAGCAGAAGTGCATGATGCGGTCAGAAATTAGAATTACTTAAATTACCAGTTCCCTGAGTAATTGTAAATGATATCACATTTTTCAAAGTGAAGAAAAAAAATTGTTCTTTGTCTGTATACATTTGACTGTATAAATTTGTTTTATAAAATTGTCTTGGCAGGTAAAAATATTTACTACTTCACAAATTGGAAACTATTTGAATTATTTATGATTTGCACACAGGACAAACAAAAAGGGGAAAAATCAGGCAATTGCTAAGGACAATGACATTTTTTAAAAGAGCCTGTTAAACATTTCTGATTCACTGACGCCTGAATCTACCAAGCAAAATCTCATGCCAAGAAAGCACTACATACTGTGCACTCTTCTACCTACTGTGCTTCAGATCCAATGACGACTGCAGATTAATGTAGAAGAAACTTACAGTTCTAGAGATCTCTCAGCCAGTGTGCAGGCCAGAAAGGCCGAGGGGGCCTCCTGACAGGACTGCCCTGCATTTCCCTGGGCTGCACCCCCTGGAGTGCCTTACAATTGCTATTCAGATGAGGCAGAATTTCTTTTCATAACCTGCCTATGCTGCATCATTTCTCTACTCCAATGTGTAAAATTAAAATCTGATAAAGGTAATGCTGTACTAGAGATTTTCATTAGCTCCAGGGCCATCTAAGCTCCATTTAATTAAAAACTGTTGCATCCAGCTGACTCATTCAGTATGAAAATTATCTGGTCCCTCCTTTTTTTTTTTCAAACTGTGGAAAGTGCAGTGTGTTCTAGAAGGTGGAAGACAGGTAATACAAATGACCTCATAGGCAAAATTCAGTTGCAGAGAAAATTGTTCTCTTTCTCTAAACATACAGAAATGAGTTCTTCACTTCTAGGGCACCTTGAAGACACTAGTGAGTCTTCAAGGAATTGATTTCAAAGACTAAAAAGAAGGGTACTTGGCTTAAGGAAAAGGATGGTGGAGGAGTTGGAACAAAGACCCCACTTGCTAGTCTTTCTTCATTTGATTTTGGGTTCAAAGTACTTTTTCTCACACCAGATTTTGTTAAAAGACACCTAGCTGGAGTGGGGCAAAGGTAGGTTTATAATTGTGAGTATATGAAACATAGAGTTTATTTTTTTACATTATTATTTGTTAATTATTATATTACTTTCCATAAGAACAACTGTAAACCTACTTTTGCCCCACCCTATAAATACTCATCAAATATATCTGTCATCTTCAGGATGGTAACAGTGTAGATTCCCTCAGCTGACACTTGCTATTGAATAAATGTAGTCAAATATTATGATTCTGCCCTGGCTAGTATGGTTCAGTTGACCGAGCACTGGCCTGTGAACCAAAGGGTCTTCAGTTAGATTCCCAGTCAGAGTACATCCCTGAGTTGTGGGCCAGGTCCCTAGCAAGGGGCATGCAAAAAGCAATCACACATTGATGTTTTTCTCCCTCTCTTTTTCCCTCCCTTCCCCTCTGTCTAAAAATAAACAAATAAAATCTTTTTAAAAACCCTAAAATACATGTATAAAGGACACATGGACAAAGCCAAAGTGGGGGAGGATTGAGGGTGGGAGGTAGGGATGGCTGGGGTAGGGGTGAGTGGTAGGGGAAAAATGGAGACAACTGTACTTGAACAACAACAAAAAAAAAGAGAGAAAAAAACCCCCAAACCTAAAATATATATAAAAAAAACCCCACTATGATCCTCTCAGGAAAGATGTTTGGTCAGAAAGGTTGTTCTCCATTCTAAGAAATACACTACTCTAGCAAACAGACAAAATATACAAAAAGTCAACTATTCATATAACTATTCTCTCCCCCAAATATCTGAAGAGTCTGCTATTAATACCCACTCTATAACTATTTTGAAAATGAGAGATTTACTGTTTGCCTTCATTATCCTTCAAACAGAGTGGAAATTCAATATAACAGGATGCCAAATTACTTCCCTTCTCTCCACACTCAATTTGCACCAAAGGCTTTTTTTAAAAATAGCAAATATTACTAGCTTGAAAATTCTTCAAAACATTCTTGAACAATGTTTCTTTCCTCAATTTGGGGTTTTTGAGTAAATGCCAAGCAGCGTGGCAAAAAAGATTTGGAGGAGAAAGACCAGTAAACAAAGATAATCTATTGTTTTGAAAAGAAATGAGAGACTCAGTATCTTTCTAACTCTGCTGGAGGAAGCAAGCAATAATCACACTGAGAAGATAAGGAGGTTAACCCAGACAGATCCTCTCACCGTGGTCAGGTCCCTTCAGAGCCAGGCGGGTCTGATGATGGGGAAGGATCTCCAGCTTGACCTGGTCAGTGGTGTTCGCCAGGAACTGGGTGGCTTCCGCCAGCGTGCAGTACTCCATGCTGGTTCCATCGATGGACAGGATGTGGTCTCCCACGTGCAGTGCGCCGCATCTAAGGAAGGGAGACATGCTCAGTGCTCTTCCTCTTGTAGTATGACTTTCATGTCCTTTGTAGTTAAATCTTCACAGTGTCCCTTTACTCAGAGAAAGGAAAGTTGGAGTGTTACAGGAAACACTACCTGTGAGGTGTTAAGTACCTATGAATGGGAATGTAAAACCCTGTAGAAAATACAGAAAAACTCAAGGCAATGTTTTTCTGTTGTCCTTTGAAAACAATTATTTTGGGGTAATGGTGCCAAAAGTTGAGGGGGAGTGAGCAAGAAGAGAAGGAAGGATAGAAAAAATGTTTCCCTTAACTTTTTCTGTGATTTTTTTCTTCCTAGGTTTTTCCATTTATAAATAGGAGTTGGTAAATATTCAGAATGTCAAGATGTGACTTGCAGAGTTGGAATAGGGTTGTTTACAAACTATATTATGTCTGAAGGGGAAATAATCTGGAGGGACTTCAGCTAAGGTTTTCTCAGAATCCTTTCACACAGCTGCCAGAGGACCAGGTCTTTATTATTGTTTTATTTTGTTATTCTAGAGTTACACTCTTATCAGTACCTAGGTTCTCGAAGACGATGGAAATTAATGCAGGAAGCAGTAAAAACAAGCCTGTGTGGTGAGAGAAGGGGAAAGCTGGGGGTGGGGAGGGCCTGGCTGCCGCTACATCTTGCTGAACTCAAGAGACTGGCTACTGGATGAGTCAAGAAAAGCAAACACAGCAGTGAACATCCCGACGTGCCAGTCAAGTTGACAGTTCCTTGCAGTGGTTACCACTGTGGAGTGGGAGAAAACAGAGGGAGAAAATTAAAGCACCCTGTACCACTGAGGGTCACCCCTGGGTCCATGGCTGTTAGGGTTAAAGGACTGTCAGGAATGTCGGGTAAGACCTCTGTGACGCTGCAGACTGACCACCACAGGGGCTGCTGCAGGTCATCGCTTCGCCGTCAGAGCTCCACCAGGCATGCCTGGGGCATATGGAGAAGGGGGCTGAAGGCACGCAGGGTAGACTGGGCATCTGAGGATATCTAAACATCGCCGCAGTGAGAATAGTCTACTTCTGAAGACAAAATTCAAGTCACCCTTTCCATCTAAAAGTAGAATTCCACCTGGATGTACTTGGAGTGCTTCAGCTGTGGGAGGGGCACTTTTTCTTACCAGGAGCTATGAAATAATTTATTAGGTGGTATAAAGTCATCCTTTTTATCCCTCTTCTAACATGTAAGTCTAAAATATTAATTAGGAAAATCAATTCAGGAAAAAGAACTTCCTATTTTTACTATCACAGGAATAAATGATGTTTTCAGGGACTCTTGAAGATTGTGAAACCTTAAGATTGACATACCGTACCAGTTGGTCCTTTCTTTAAAGATTGTATAATTAAAAAAATCATTTCATGTATTTAAGAAAAAAGGAATAAGATTTTATGGTGGCAGGATCTAACTGATAACAACAATTCAGGACAAGCCGTGGCTTTTCTGTGCAGAGCATAATTAAGTTCTGCTTAGCTCCCCTCCAGGACACAGTAGGAAAATTTGCTCAGTTGCTTGCCTTTTTTCTTTTCCATTTTTAAAGGCCATACCAAATATTTGGATGAGGTGACATTATATCATAGGGTGGCTGATAAGGTAGGCAAATTTTTAAGCCCTAGAACAGTAATTTGTATTTTAGTTGAAACTTGTGTAAGTTGGCAGGAGAGCTGTATTTTACTGTATGTGTATGTGTGTGTACCTGTGTGTATGTATATGTATTACATGTGTGTATATGTAAACCTATATATGCAAAAGGTTTACCATTGTCAACTGTAAACCTCTTTGCCCACCTCTGTTTATGTGTATGTGTTTTAACCCACATGCAGTTTTGAAAAGTTGGCACCTGCTACCACACTCACCTGTCTGCAATGCTTGCAGATTTAATTTTGTCTATGACAATGACCTGTTTGTTACAGCACATCGAGGTAGTAAGGGCAACCCCAAGGCTGGCACCAGGTGTTTTGGCAACTTCAACTAGTAATGGCCCGGATGCTGTTGCCACAGAATCTATGAAAGAACAAATTTCAGAAAACAAAATGGAACAAATAAGCAAACAGACACACACCAAAAAATGGAGAATGTTCAGTCTGATACTGGTCTGAAACTTACATTTGCCTCCAAATAACACCCCCACAGCTAGTGGTAACTTCTTAGGGCATCTCTTAGGATACTTGTTCTATCCAGCTTGTATTCAGTAATATTTACACAAGTTTATCTCTTCAATTAAATTTTAAGCTTCACGTCATCATTTGGGATAAGGTCTGTGTATCTTTATGCTCTCTGTTTCATTTGGTACATACAGTGCCTAGCATATACTATGTCACTCAGTAAATATTTTTCAGTTAATTAATTCAATAAACATCTTAACATGTACTATAAATGGGTGGATGGTTGAAAGAAAGGAAGGAAGGTAGGAAGGGAAAGAGAGAAGGAGGGAGGTGGAATGGATGGAATGGATGGAAGGATGGGTGGATAAATGGATGATGTCGCTAATTAGCCACTTTGTAGGAATGCATACACTAAACTGACTTTGTACATCTATTGGGTCTTTCCTTATGCTAGACCTGATATAGAGTCACTTCTCCCTCAATCACTTTCCACATGGTTTATTTTTGCTTTTTGGAACACTCTTCATTCCTTTAGTTCCTACTCACTCTTGGGGACTCAGTGTAAACATCAACTCCTCTGGGAAGCCTCTCCTGATCCATGGTTTTGGGAGACGCCCTTCTTTTGTGCGCCCACAGCCTGCTATACTCCTGCTGCTGTAGCACACACCTCACTGCCCCATAATAGCCAGTGTGGATTACATGCCTCTGTCCTTCAGCAGACTGTAGGGTTGCTGTAAAGGCAGAGACTATGTCTTGTCAATCATGGCATCCTCAGTTCCTGGGATAATGATGGGTACACAGGAGGCGTGTCATAAATAGTTGTTGAATGAATGTATGAACAAACGAGAAAACTCATGAAATTGTTTAAAGCTCAGAAGAAGCAGGGGTTCTATAGGAAAGAGCCTCAGACACAGAGTTAAAACATCTGCATTTAGTTCTTTTCAAAATATTTTGGTCATGATACTTTAGACAAGTTACCAAAGCCTTCTAAGTCCACTCACTTACCTATAAAATGATATTGGTTCCTCAGTGTTTATGACAATGAAATCAAAGTGTAGTTAAACATTTTGTAATTTGCAAACTGATATATGAGGATCTCAAGCCTTGAGTCATCTAATGTTTTAAGATTGTATATTACTCTGCAATATTTTTCTGATTTTTTACTGCTCTGGCATTTGAGGCTTCATTTACAGAACTTTGTTTTTTCTGCAAGCACATCTTTATCACCAGTGTGCTGCTCAGATCCAGCGAGCTAGGGAACCTGCACTCCGGTTGCTGAAGCCCAGGCGGTACGCACTGACTCGTGAAGCTGCCAGCTCCACGCGGAGAGCCATTTTCAGTTTGAGATGAAACAGCATTTCTTAAATGAGGTGAAGACAGCATATTCATGCCAGCAACACTCATATTCAGTGCTAAGGAATCTTGTATGTGCTATGTTTCTTAAATGATTGCTAATATTGAAATAATTTAGTCCTAAAAAATAATTTGGCCCTAAAAATGGCTGAGAGACGTTACATCAGGGCCTCTATCTTTTTCTGTCAAACTAGGGCAGTCTCACTACTAATGGCTGGGAGAAACCAAAGGTCTCGGTCTACTAGGAGGACTTTTTGATTCTGCAGTTTCACGGCTATAATTTTCCCATTATATCATTACTAGCTCCCAGAGTTTGTTCTCAAAATAACTCTATAGTGGCTTCTACTCTCTGGTCTTGCTCACCTTGCTGTGTTAATTTTCCTCACCTAGGAGTTTGTGCCAAGTGGTGTCTGTGGGTATATGCAACAGTGGTTTGCTCCTCATCTGCCTCAGTTGGCACTCCCTGGAAAGAATTCTGGTCAATCTCTTTAGCATCTGTTTTGGTTATCCTTCCATCATGCAAATGGGTAGTTGATTCTGCCTGCCTCTCAACTCTAATAGTCAAAGTTCTGCGACTAACCCAATGCACATGACCTGTTGTCTCTAGTTCCACCCCAGAGGCTTGCTGGCCTTCTCTTCCTGCTCAAGTCGAACCTCACAGGAGCTCTGGCCTATCAGGGTGTTTTCTACATTATCTTCTTAGAGCTTTAGAAAGACTAATTTCCCAAATGACTTCTCATGGACCTACTGAATTTTAATAGATAGGTTTGTGAGGTGACAATCACACATATTCTTTCACCTGGTTTTTTCATGTCTAAAGATAAACTTATGTAAACAGATGAAAGTAATAAAATTTCTGTTATTTATTAACTTACTCTCATACAAATGACAGAAACTGGTAGTTGTTCCCTGGTATCCTATCTTCCCTTCTTTCATCAGTAATGAGGTTCCTAAGTTTTAGCTAACAAATGGTTGCCCAGCTAAGAACAACATTTCCCAGACTCCTTCGTACTGAGGTGCAGCCATGTGACTAAGTTCCGGCCAATGGGAAGAGAATGGAAGTGAGATGTGAACCATTCTGGATGTACACTTAAAAAATGGCTGTGCCCTCCTCTGCCTTATTTCCCTCTCCTTGCTGTTACAATGTGTTCCCAGAACTGTGAGCCATCTTCAGCCACGCAGACAAGGGCATGGAGACACAACACAGAGGAAGCATATGCTCCAGAAACCATATCTCCAGAGATTGCTTAATCTCCCCCAAAATACACAAAGCTCTTGTACCTTAAAACCATGAAAAGACATGAATACTCTGGGTGCCTGGGGAAAGGCACTGTCTGGCCCTAGGAGAATCTGCCAGACTGGCTTAACTATAGAGGACAGTAAGCAAACCATGATGACTGACAGCTGAACAGAACCATGGAGTAGAAGGTGCTTACTTAAGTTTTAGCATGAAACAGATGGTACACTCAAATTAGAATAATTCGAGGGGAGTGCATTAAAGGGACTATTTAGAAAGGTTATAGGGAAACCACAAGGGATAATGCAATACTCTAGGGCCAGAAGCAACAGGGCACCATATCCCAGAAGACGCAAAAGGCATCATAGGCCAGAAGACGCAAAGTATAGAGCTGTTTGTGGAGCCAGGATTCAGAACCAGGACTGTGTAAACACGGCTACTTTACAGGAGCTGGGGCCTTCAGTCAAAGGATGTAGCCAGTCCCAGTGAATCCACAGGGAGGAAGCCAGGGAATAGCATCCTATGTCATGGCCCTCCCTCCTGTGATCTCCTGCCATGGTTCCCAATTAGCTAAACCCAGGAGCCAGAAGGCATGAGAGCCCATCATGTAGGCCAATCAGTCATGGCACAGGGTACATGAGAAGAGAAGTGAGTGGCCCCGGGGTTATAAAGAAAGATATCCTTATTTGTGTATGTCTCCACTCAACTTCTTTGCACAGAAGTCTGGAGGCTACTTGCTTTAAACAAAGTATGTAATATAAGGAAATAATAAGGAAGAAGAAAAAGTGACTACAACTGCCTTGCCCACAAGAGTTAATAGAGAATTACATAATGACTCTGAGCTATAGGTAAATCCACAGAGAAAATAGATTACAAACAGCCAGGGTTTGGGAACAGAGTGATTGCTTCAGTTTTGGAACTAGACAGAAGTGATGACTGTATAACATTGTGAATGTATGAAATGCTATGTTCATACACTTTACACTTTGAACTGGTTAATTATGTGTTACGTGCATTTTGCTTTAATAAAAATATGTTGACTCTGAACTTTTAGAAACCAGGACAATAAAGGAAACATGGTTAAATATGCAGTTACCACTGCTGGAAAGGAGGAAGTCTGTCCTTACAATGGAAATATTCTTTGAGCAGAGAGCACTAAAAGATATCTCTCCCCTGAGTTTTATATGAGTAAATTCTGCTACCTGGTAAATGAGTAATGTCTTTAACACATTTTTATAATAGGGTGCAGAGGTGGTTTCCAATGGCTATTCCTTCATCAAGGTTGACACATAAGATTAAAAAAAGCAAATCAGTGATGTTGTCTCTATAATGGGACAAGTTCATGCGATGGTCAACTTGATCTAAAGACAGATCCTGGGGTAGACAGACTGGATGTCTGTCTGGGGACCTTTCCTAGATATCAGTAGTTTTCCTCACTTAGGTTTCCAACAGAAGCTGCGTATTAGAAGCTGTGATGAGACCCTGGTATGCTGGCATTTTATATACATGACTGAGACCACATCCAAAAGCTCTGGATATCAGAAAAATCAGTGGCAGGATTAATGTACTATCAGGAGGCTGGAGAAGCCTAACTATATTGTTGCAAGATTAGAAGGTCACCCACCTCACACACCCACAGAGCAGGGATTTCTAAGCCTGCAGGCTAAGTCATCATTTATGCAACAACATGACTTTAAAATATGCCTTTATGGAGTGCTAACAACATACCAGGAATATCAGAAGGTGCCGGGGACTCGTAGATGAAAATGTATTATCCCTTCCTTCTAGTAACCCCTTGGGACTCCTCCTTGCAGAGAAGGTGGGGGAGCAGGTAGACTCCTGGATCTCCTGATAGAAATTTATTCTGTTGAACCTCATGAAATTTCTAGGTATTTTTTTTTAACTGCAGGACATCAAATGTTTTCAATTCCCCTCCCTCCCCTGCCCTGATAAAACCTTTAATCTACTGTGGTCAACATACTTATCAAACAATAGTGGGTTATCTAAGCGAATGTGATTTCCAGGTTTCTCAGAAAATTCCTCAAGCATGGCAAAAGATCCACAGAAGGTGGCTGAAGCTCCCTGTCCATAAGGGCTGCCTGTAGGATGGCAATTGCTATTACCAAATACCTACAGTGTGACAAGGGAATGGGAGTGGCAGTGAGACTTATGGGGATCTGAGTAGGCTGAGCACGGTGAACTGGGGTAGCTGGGATGAGTGTATTGGATGAGATAGGATTTGATCTGAAGGTCTCTCAGCTGCCTTTATGTTAATGGATTCTAGGAAAACAACAAAACTATTTTAATGA